ACGACTCGGTAATCCCATAAACGTCCGGAAGACCGGTCGCCCGCGCTTAAGTATATATATCTCTATTAAAACGGTGAAATCATGGCGTTTCTTTCGTGGTAGACTCATCCGAGATAACAGGTTCAGTTTGATTCAACGAAACAGTATACCGACTCCGATGTATACGTTTTGGAACCCGAAAGCATTCAAGTAAAGGCGCTCCAGTCAGAACTGGATATTCCACTACAAGTTTAAATCCTTTCCGATATAATTAATAGTTCCATCGTGAGCCAGTCACTTTCATTTAATAAATAGCACGCCCTGAAAAAGGGAGAGATAATTTTATGGAAGGTATATCTTTTGCGTATACATTATAACCTATCTACAATCTTTGGAAAATATTTTGAAAAAAAATCTTTTTGGCGGAAATAATCTATATATATTACTATTTAAAAAAATTATTTATTTATTAAAACGATTTTGGTTTAATTAATTACGATTATAAAGTTTCTTATTCACCATTGGAATAATGTATCATATGCAAAGTTCGAGATTTTTCATGTCAATAATGATCACTATTATAGCTATCACACACAAAATGACATAAACTGCACAACCATAGCATAAGCTATAAGCTTAAGCTGCATAACCTTAAGCTATGATTATACAGCTCATGGTGGAAGATGCGATATGCGCGTTGACTCACCTGTCTTCTTCCACCATGATGCAACTATAATTTTGTGTGTGATAGCCGATGGTCCTTAGACTTTGAGATCAGACAAAAAAACCGACGGTGCTGTAAAAGATCAGTCGTTTGAAAATTGTATAAAGCTCAATATCTTACATAACGGTTAACATCGCCGAACAGCCTTTGACTGAAATATTTTTCAAGACGGTCGAAAGATAATCACACGTCTAAGAGCTTTGAAAATTCTGCTTGGTCAGGCGGAAAAATTAATGTCCCTATTTAACATATCTCAATAGGAATGGTGCATCGGTAGCGCAGATAACAGCATTTAATATATATGATATTCTATAAATGAATAAAGCTTTAACGGTTTCTTCTTTTGTGATGCTATTAACAATTATTTAAAAAAATCCGTATATCTTTAACTAATATTAAATTTAAGTGTTAACATTTTTTTATTAAAGATAGTAAGATAGCAGAGCTAAAGACAGCACGTCCTTCATGATAGCTTAACAAGAAAAAAATTTAACAGAAAATATATCTTTCACGCGTATGTATTATATCTACAATTTTTGGAAAATATCTCAGAGGAAATGTCTTCGATAAAAATGATCTCTTTGTTCTCATTCTAAAAACATTACTCATTAGAATAATTTGGCGTATTCTCTTATATACCAAATAAATGAAACATAGTTGATAATTTTTGGACTCGCTAATTTTAATAAACAAAGATTCTAATTCAAAGAAGTTAAAATTAAACAAATTTGTTGCTTTCCATGCAGAAAACGTGTCACGCTTGGATTACCGAACGATATAGTATTCGACGTAGCGGTCTTTTTCTCTCTGCCCTTTCTTCATCTTGTTTCCTGCAAATAAGTTTCTAACCTTCGCGACGGAGGCTTGGAGGCTCGATTGGGTCCATGCCGGTACGCTGACCGTGGATTGGCGAGAACCGGATTGTCTAGATCCCCTCGAGCGACGAAGAGGACGATCGGTCGGTCCGGATCGGCTGGACTTATATTGAAGTAAAGTATCGGACTATCGCGTTCGTTCTCGGCATGGTCAACTCTAGTTACTGTAATTTCTCGCAAGGACCGACGAACGGAATAATCTCGCAGCTGCGTGAAACGGGAGGATGCGCCTATGCGCGTCTTCACGCGATTGCGTGGTGCATTGCATTGCACATCGCGGACTAAAGTTTCTCGGCTCGATCTATCCGACGAGTTGCACGCGAGATCCTGCATATTATAGGTATTTCGCCATTTGAACATTTGTTTTTACGCTCACGTTGGGTGCAATAGCATTCAGTGGAAAAACTTAACGATTCAATGTTGAAATCAGATTAATCAGATTAGATTGATGATGAAGAGTGAACGTTTCTTTTCCTGAATTATCTTAAAATCATACTTTTTAGAAATCCACAAATCTAAAGAGTGCTAGAAAGCTTTCTCTAATTATAGAAATAATAATCATTTTTATTATTAATTTATATTTCTTTGAAAAAATATAGATTTTATATATAAATACATGTTTTACAAATAAATTCTTCAAATTAATACTTTTTTTTAGACACGTAAAACAAATAAATTTTGTAATGTTGTAACTACAATATATACATATCTTTGTCAAAGTTCATTACATTTTTTTCCAACAAGTTTCTTTTTCTTTCTCGTAAAAAAACGCTATTTAAAACAGAAAATTTCCATATTTCATGTTTCGTATTTAACTTTATTTAACTTTATACTTTGAAATGTATTTTCTCAACTCCTTTGAGTCTATAAACTAAAAAACTGAGTTCTATGTACACAATCGATTAACCGACGAATCGTCATTTTCCCTTCCTAGCACGCTTAAAAAGTCGTCGCATTAACATCCACGGCAGCAGAAAATCAGTTCGAGATGCGGTTTGCGGGTACTTGTTACAGGAATCGTTGATCAAGAGACTCGACGGTCGAGTCTCGTGATGCTCGAGTACATAAGTCAACTGCCTATGTTTATTGCATTGTGAACGTCAATCTCTTCTCTCTTCATTTGGAAATTTTCAAACGTGGTTGAAGACATCTTGAGAACTCCGACAGTGTTATAAAAAATTTAACAGTATTATATTCATCCACTTATTCTATTCTGTTACAGTTGATTTTTTTTCATATCGATTCTTCCGATTTTTCGTTTTTATATAATATTTCCATCAATTTGTGCTCTCCCTCGCACACAGCCCGGATTTTACATTCATTTCCTTAAAAGTATACGCTCTGAAATCCAACGGCTCGTTAAGTCTCCTGAGGTGTTAAATTGAATTCCCAGCTATGTACGACAGGTACGACGAAGCGAGTAAAATGGTTAGTCGGTATTTATATCCGGACTCATCATCGCATAGCTTTGCACTGGCGCCGATATCAAGTCGTATTATTCGACTTAAGATATATTCGATATTTAAATAAGATCCAGTTTTCAACGGCAACATTCATCAAAACAGGTAATACAAATATGGACGAAGAAACATTTTTATTTATCGATTCTGTATCTCATAATATATTTTAAGTAACAATCCGGAAAATTCCTTCCAAATTGTACGTCATACAATTTATTATTCTTTTATTTTTTGGGGGGAAATTTTATTACGAAAACAATTTAATTATTTAATTATTTCTCTGTAATTTTCGATTGTATGTATAAACATTTGTAATAGAAAGTTAGTAATTATATTAGTTATACAATGTGTCTTAATTATTATGAAATTATTAAATTATTCTCGTTTATACAAAATGAAAGAAAAATCATCGCGATGATGTAAAGATAATGCTTTTCTCCGGACTTAGAATTATTATGAAAGAAAGCAACTTTTTATCAAAGAGAGATAGATAATTATCTGTCCTTCTTTTAAATATTTTAACTTGAAAATTCTATTATCATTTAATATAAAGAAAACATTAAATTTTAAATTACATGAGAGATAGAGTATGTGCTGCATAAGCAGACAGCTGTGTAGTGAGAATCACGATGAACTCAAGATAAAGATCGCAGTCTTCCGTTCTTTCGAGCATGACAGCGGACGTCGCATTACTTCATATTAGATCCCATTGTTCCTCAAAGTTAGATGTCAAGAGCGCGCGTTTGAAAAAAAAAACATTCATACTAAGGTACCAACTTCACTAAACTTTCCTCGACATTATTGCATAAATGTATATATATATATATATGTATTACTTACATACATAAAATTATTATTTTAATGTACTTATTATAATATAATGAGAGCTCTAACAAGATCATCTTGAGTTTATCGTGTGAAATGACTAATTATCCTGTCCGATTTAAACCGGTCTGGAGAATTAGCAACGGTATCTGATATATATTTTTCCTACAATTGGAGAAATCTGCTCTTCTTTACAAGACGAGTATCGTCTTAATGCGCGCGATTCCGTTGCTCGCGATCGACTTTCTCAAGATCGCACGCGTGCGCGCGTTGAAGTCGAGCGTGAAAGAAAACGGCCCGGAACTCGAGAAGCGATGAAACGGCCGATCGAATTAAATTGCGATAAGCAATGTAAGCATGCGTGTAATGTGAGAGGTCGGCGAATTTTACAGCCGACGAAAGACCAGTATCTTTGGGGCACCTCATTGCAAGGGTACGACCGGAAGTAGTTTGTTTCCCACGTTTTGCTGGCGAAGGAAGGTCGCTTCTCGCAAGGGGAAGACGTGTGCACCTCGAAAATGCCGTCTGTACCAGCAATTATGGTACTTCACTGTAGCGAGAAAGCAATTAAACTCGCCAGAGCGAAATAAGGCGTAAGAACGAGACACGTCTTCACGTCCTTATACACGTTGTTTCGTCCTTACTCGTGTGACCCGTCTTCCAGGTTGAGCAAGGAATAAGAAGAAGTCCACGCGAGATTACTTTCAGTCGCAATGTCGTCCATCGTGATTACTATCATCCTTTGCTTTCCTCGATTCCGATATTTTACTGAGCTTGTAGCAAGTTACCTCGAAGTAATTACTTGGAGCAAATAAATTATTTTCCATTCATTCTAATCGAATGGACAAATTATCTGCATTATTTTAATAATCATACCATCGATCTTAAGTGTAATAACTAAAGTGTTGCTTTACGGTTTCAAGACAGTTTTTTCTTGGCAAAGTTTAAATACAAATAAAACCCCTATTAGATCAAAGCGAGTTTAATGCCTAATAATATTTTTGTGTGAATTTTATAAGTAAACCGCGCATTCGTCTTTTATCGGTTTTAAAACACAGTCCTAAACTGAAATTGGAATACGTAATATCATAAATTAAATTAATTGAAAAAATTTAAGATTGATATAACTTTCTTTAGATGGATCCTGGTGCATCGATGTGTTAAATTCGCGAAGGAATCGCGAAGATAGACGATCATGAGACACTTAGGAAGAGAACAGCACAGACCGCAAGATCGCGCGGATTAAGTGCGTGTCGCCATGGCGAGGTGGAGATGGATGCTGTTGATCTTGACGACCATCTGGACGCTGGGCGATGGCTACCTGACGATACTACCATCCAGTACGCCCGTTGGCACTGTCGTCTTCGAGGCAGGAGTGCCTCAGCTGGGTGGTCGTCGCAAGTACGAGGCGTCCAGTGAGCGCACCGCTTGGTTTGCTCGGAAGCTCCTCAAAGTCCATCCGCATACAGGCCGCGTAACTCTGGCAAAGACGCTCAGCTGTGAAGGTCTCCAGTATCCGCGTGTTTTCACCTTCTACGTCGACTCGACGAGCTCCCGCCTCGGTAGACCCACTATCGATTACTATAGTTTACCATTGAGAATCCTGATTACCGGATGCGGCGGGGAGAATCACGACCTGGCGGCCACCAGAGGCTGGATGGCGGAGACTCTGGCTTCTTACGCGATGCCCAGCACCGACAGGTTGGAAATTTGCTGTTAGATGTAGATAAAAATATTAATGAATGTAGATACTGACTCGTAATATTGGAATTTAATTTATTTGATGAAATATAGATGTAACGACAATAATTCTGCACACAAAATATATAAATAGATTCCTCATAGCAAGAAAAGAAACCGTTCTGGAAAAATAGTATGGTCAGAATGGTACATTAACACAGGTTTAAATTAATCAACTTAGATTGTTATATTTAATTATATAAAGTAAATTCAAAAAAAGAATACTTAATGCTTAGCTTCGCAAAAATTAAAATTCATAGCTAAAGATCCAATTACATCCATAGATTTACCGAGGTATGCCTACGGACGTCTCAACTGGTGGCAGCTCTCCGTGATTTTCTACCTCAGACGACATTGAAGGAATGCGAAACGAGATGGGGTGGAGTGGCAGATCCCAGGTTCCTCGTGGAAGGTGCCGCCGGGGACCTGGTTTCCGCTACCGAGCAATGTCTGGTCGATCCATTGTGGAAGGTCTCAGTTAGCATGAATTTGCGTTGCACCGGCGACTCACGTCTGACCGATGCCGAACATCGATTGAAGATTGTGTTTCATCACCATCAGCTGGACGACACTGATCTCGGTAGGAGAGTGAGACGAGAGCTTAAGAATCAATCGCCGTATTTCGAGCAACACCTTTATCTCGCCGCGGTGGAAGAGGAAAAAGAGCCGGGAATGTATGTGACTTCAGTGAAGGCTAGAGATCCCGAGAACGGCGCCGTACGATATTCCATGAGCTCGCTGGTAGATGCGAGATCGCAAGCATTATTGGCTCTTGATCCAGTAACCGGGAGAGTGACAACCCGTACCAGGTTGGATAGAGAAAATGTCGACGTGCACTATTTTCGGGTGCGTATCGAATTCCGAAGTAAAAAGAATAAAAATTAAAAAAATATAAATCTTGCTCTACACATAAGAATAAATTTAATAAAAAAGCATTATCTAAGAGTGCGTCTGTCTTTTGTTTAAAAGCAATTTATTAACGTTGTAACGTATATGGTAGTTAAAACGAAAAATAGAAATTTTAATTAAAATAGCGTTTAATTACAAATAACATGGATTATTGGACAAGTAGGTGTTGGCGGTGGACGACTCGTTTCCTCCGCGCACCGGCACAACGACTCTTCAAGTTAACGTGTTGGATGCAAATGATCATACGCCTAGTTTTGAGGGACCGGAATACGACGCGTCGGTACGTGAAGGTGTTCCCGTAGGTTCCACAGTGATTACGGTTAAAGCTACGGATCAGGACACTGGAAGAAATGCCGAAGTGGAGTATTCTATCGTCTCTATCACGGCAGGTAGTAGCGTCACGCATATGGAGGATGCAGCGACTTTCAGAATCGATTCAAGGTTAATACCACAAATATCATATTCCGGCATATTTGAAGAAAGGTTATAATTTCTTAATTTCCGAAACTAATCACCATAACATTTCGTTTAGGAAGTTCTTTTTTATATTCATGAATAAAAAAAGATTTTGATCTTTTTCTATGGTATGAATAGATTATTTTCTCTAAATTTTATTGTAATATTATTAGTGGCACGAATAAACTACGTAGAATGTATTTTTTATTTTCTTTCTTTTTTTCTTAACTTAGTTTTTTTTGTTTAGAATTAGAAGATCCTACGGTAAAATCTTTTATATGATCAACTCAATGAAATATAATTTCACATGATTCTTATATTCACATTATAAATCTTTGTATATCCTCAGATCCGGCGTAGTCACCACGCGAACTCCTCTCGATCGCGAACAAACCGAGATTTACACGGTAGTGCTCAGCGTTACGGATCAAGCGACACCACCTTCGGCGCGACGTAGTTCAAACGCGACCCTATTAGTACGTGTGCTGGACGACAACGACAACTATCCGCAATTCACTGAGCGTACATATTCGGCAACCGTGCCAGAGGACTTGGACTACACGACTAATCCAGTGATAGCTCGTATTAGGGCGATAGACGCTGATGCTGGCGCCAACGCTGCTGTCCGCTACGCTATCATTGGCGGCAACACGCAGAATACCTTTTCGATCGACTCAATGAGTGGCGACGTAGCCTTAGTTAAGCCACTCGATTACGAGTCCACCAGGAGCTATAAGATTGTCATACGCGCTCAGGATGGTGGCTCGCCCGCGCGTTCTAACACTACCCAACTGCTCGTGATGGTCAGGGATGTAAATGACAACGCGCCAAGATTCTATACCAGTCATTTCCAAGAATCGGTGTCGGAAAGCGTACCAGTGGGATATTCGATCCTGAGAGTACAAGCGTACGATGCCGACGAGGGTAACAACGCACTCATCAAGTACACCATTGGCGCGCGCGATTTCACCGGCGCCTCCACAGAGAACTTCCCCATCACCGTGAAAGCAGAAACTGGTTGGATTTACACGACGAAGCAATTAGATCGGGAACAATGCTCAAAGTATATTAATCTTTTTTATCGATTATAAAATTGCCATTTAATTGGAGTTGGAATAATTGAAATATAAATCAACGCGGATAAAAGTTGTACAAAATATTTAAAACTGTTCGGAGAGAAATATACAAAATAATTTCTCCTCCATTCCCTACATAAAATTTTACTAAAAACACTTACTTTAGATTCTTTAGTAGCAAACTTTTTAACAAGAGATTCTCGTTTTGATTTTAGATACCAATTCACCGTAATTGCGGCGGATTCTGGAGAGGAACCAAAATCCGCGAGCGCGACGGTATTTCTCACGGTGACCGATGTGAACGACAATGATCCTTACTTCGAGCCAAAAACCTACGAGGCTGTAGTATCCGAGGATAGTCTGGCGGGCACTCCGGTCACAACGGTGACCGCCACCGATCCGGATGAGGATTCCAGAATCCATTACGAAATCACGGGTGGTAACACGCGTGGACGCTTCTCTATTTCTTCGCAAAACGGACGTGGCCTTATAACTATCGCCCAGATGCTCGATTATAAGCAGGAGAAACGGTTTGTGTTGACAGTGACTGCGTCGGATAGCGGCAGCCGCACTGATACCGCCTTGGTTTATGTCAACGTGTCGGATGCCAACAATTATTCTCCAGAATTTGAAAACGCACCTTACTCAGTCTCAGTGTTCGAGGACGCGCCAATTGGCGTGACAGTCCTGGTGGTGAGTGCTACTGATGCTGACGTTGGCAAGAACGCCCAGATCACATATAGCCTAGCGACTGATAATGGCGAACAGGTGATCACCGAGTTCACAATCAATCCACAAACTGGAGCAATTACGACGACAAAAGCGCTCGATCGCGAGTCGGTACCCTCGTACCTGTTAACAGTGACCGCCCGGGATGGTGGAGTACCATCGCTGTCGGATACTACCGATGTGGAGATCTCCGTCACGGACGTAAATGACAACGCGCCGGTCTTCGAAGCACCGCAATACCACGGTTCGATTCTCGAAGATGTTTTGCTAAGCACTAGCGTGCTGAGAGTCGCGGCGACCGATGCAGATACCGATCTCAATGGCCGGGTAAGTGTAGCTCTCTCTGACAAAAAAAATGATATTATGATATAATTTCAATGAAAAATATACTAATTGATTTGCTTATATAAATAAATACAAATTTTAATAATTAATAGAAATCTTTGAATTTCTGAATGATCAATAAATTATTAAGTTAATATCTTTGATTGATAAAAACTATTTTTATCAATCTTTTTTTAAACAACAATTATAAATGTATAACATAAATGTATAACATAATAAATAGCAGAAAGTTTTAATACAATTTTTAAAATTCTTTCCATGACTTTCTAATGAACTTAATATGACTGATCTAGGTAAGATACAGTTTAGAGGACGATGGCGACGGAGCATTCACGATTGATTCTACGACAGGCATTATTAGGACCGCGAAAATATTGGACCGAGAATCGGTGGCGTATTACACTTTAAAGGCCGTGGCCACAGACCGCGGTTCGCCCGCACTCTCGTCTGTCGTTCCTGTTACTATCAAGATTGAGGACATCAACGACTCGCCACCCGCCTTTGAGAACGATAAGATCATTCTTTATATCGCCGAGAATTCTCCGATTGGCTCGACTGTCGGTGAAATCTACGCCCACGATCCAGACGAGGGTCCTAACGCAGTGGTGCAGTACAGTATCATCGGTGGCGAGGATTCCAATAGCTTCAGCTTGAATGTCCGCCAAGGCGCCGATCGCGCCGAATTAATCACCCTCGAGGAACTTGACTACGAATCGCCGAAGAAGAAATTTGAACTCGTGGTGCGAGCCGCGTCACCGCCGCTGCGTTCGGACGCGGTGGTGCAGATCCTGGTGACCGATGTGAATGACAACGCGCCGGTGCTTAAGGACTTTCAAATAATTTTCAATAATTTCAAGGACTTTTTCCCAACTATACCAATTGGCCGGATACCAGCAGTGGACGCTGATGTAACGGACAATCTTGTCTACAGCATCCTCGCCGGCAACAATGCGAATCTAATCG